ATTCTTAATTAATATTTAAACTTCATTCACACATTTACTAAACTTACTTTTCATTTCCTAACCAAAACATTTATATAAAATATTTACATTCTTAGAGGGTTTTGGGTCACAAGTATTACGTAAATAGATGATTGAAAGTTCTAGATCGGTGGTGACAGAGAAGATGATTCTAGAGCTTTCTTACAAGACTATACGTTCATGGTTTTTTTTTCATCGTACATAGTGATAACCGTTTATGGGAATAATCAAAGACGATTACAATCACCAACGCCCATCGATCAAAAAGTTTCTCTTTTGAAGATAAAGATGCGTAATGGCATATCATTGCTCGTGTAATATTCCTTTGTTCATTCCTAATAGTTCAAACATGACTTTTGAGTGTGAAATGACCTACAATTATGGACATCTAAAATTTAGCAAGGAATTATTTTCATGGTGTTGTACTTGTTCTTTTAGGATTTTCTATGCATTTTGGTTTGTTGGTTTTAAAGTTGAATCCTCTTGAATTTGGTGGCGATTTATAGGGAGAGAGGGTGTACATGAAAGGGAGGGTGGCATGTTAGTATTTATTATTTAAGTGTTGTTAGTTTATCCGTCAAATAAATCCCTATCTTATGAGATAGAGTTTAGGTAGAATTGATCTTGTCTCGCATGATAAGCTTACGGGTTTACGTCTTTTAGCTTATTTGTTCTTTCGATGTAAGGCTATATATATATTAGTCATGCCTTTGTTTGATATATGGAGATTAATTCCTCTAATTCTCTATGCCTTTCTCTTTAGAACCTATAATTGATATCGAGCTTGATTAAAAGATATGTCAACGTAAAGCTCTTCTATTCAATCAGTAGTTTTAAAATTTGATAGGTATTATGATCATTGGGCTACACTCATGGAAAACTTCTTGCGGCCTAAGGAGTACTAGGGCTTGGTGGAGAATGGGATTTCTACAGCAGAAGGTGTTACTCTTATAGATGCACAAAAGAGGAATATTGAAGGAAAAATGTTAAAGGATTGGAAAGCAAAGAATTATTTATTTTAAGCACTAAATCGTATAATTTTGGAGATGATTCTTAACAAGGATATAGCAAAGGCTATATGGGATTCTATGAAGTAGAACTATCAAGGTACAACACGGGTCAATACTGCATAGTTACAAGCTCTCGAAAGGAGTTTGAAATTCTCCACATAAAGGTAAGAGAATTTATGAATGAATACTTTGCTGGAACTCTTACCATAGCTAACAAGATGAAAGTAGACGAGGAGGATAATGGAAATATTGTTGTTGTTGAAAGATTTTAAGATCCATGACTTCTAAGTTTAAATATGTTGTGTGTTTCATTGAAAAGTCAAATGATACGAGCACGATGACTTTTGATAAGTTACAAAGTAGTTTTCTTATGCATGAACAACATATGAGTTCTCACATTATAGAAGAATAAGTTTTAAAGACAACCCGTGGAGATCATCTTGTAGGAAGAGGTCATAATAGTGGAATTTTTTGTGGAAACGTAATGGGAAGAGGAAGGCAAGGTTTTAAAAAAGCTATAGTGGAATGTTATATAACTATCACAAGCTTGGGCACTTTCATTGGGAATGTTCAAGCAACAAAAAAGACAAACTATACAAAAAGTCAAGAAGAGATACTCTTAATGGCATATAGAGATGAAAATATAGAAACTAGAGAATACATATGGCTTCTTAACTTAGGTTACGGTAATAATATATCTAGAAAAAAGGAATATTTTTCAAATTTTGATTAAAAAATACAAAGATTCTGTGAAGATGGGAAACAATTCAAGAATGGTTGTCTTAGGAAAAGGAAATGTAAGGCTCAAGATAAAATACATAGTGCGGATCATCACAGAGGTATTTTATATGTAAGAGTTGAAAAATAATCTGTTGAGTATTGGGTAGTTTCAAGAGAAACGGCTTGATATTCTGTTCCAACATTGTATATGTAAGGTGTTTCATCCTAAGAAAGGTTTAATTATGGATATAATAGTGACCTCTAATCGAATGTACATATTGCATGCTTTATCTACGCCTATGACATCCACTTGTTTTAGCATAACTAGTGAAGATGAGGTGCAGCTTTGGCATTGTAATATGGTCACTTAAGCTTTAAGTTCTTAAAGACTCTCTAGCAAAAGACGATGGTAATCTGGTTTACCAAAGTTTTAGCCTCTTTTAAAATTATGCAAGGATCTGTTTGATAAGGAAGCCAAAAAAAAAAGACTCATTTCCAAAACAAAGCAAATGAAGAGCATTACAAATTCTTTAATTAATGCGTGTTGACATTTATGGATCAATCAATCCCATCTCCAATAGCAACAAGAGGTATCTTATTACTTTTATTGACGATTTCAATAGAAAAACATGGGTCTATTTTTTTTTATCAAGAAGTTAGAAGCTTTTGATGTGTTCAAACGATTTAAAACTCATATTGAGAAGGAAACAAACTCATTCCTTAAAAGCTTATACGTTATCGAGGAGTAGAGTTTACATCATATGCATTTGTCAATTTTTATGATGAAAATGGGATACATAGGTAACTAATAGCTATATACACACCTTAATAGAATGGTGTTGCTAAACGAAATAATGGAGCCATCATGAATACACTTTGTAGCATAATTTTAGAAAAACAAGTTCCTAAATCTTTTTAGTCCGAAGTTGTAAACTAGACAATGTATGTTTTGAATCACAGTCCCACCTTGGTAGTAAGCAATAAAACTTCGGAAAAGGTTTAGAGTGGAATCAAGCGTTCGGTTAAACATTTTAGAGTTTTTGGTGGTATCTCTCATGTTCATGTTCCCGATAGTACAAGAACCAAGCTAGATGGTAAGAGCTCAGTGTTGTGTTCTCTTAAGAGTCAATGAAAAAACTAGGGCATATAGACTTTATGATCCAGCTACATAAAAGATCATAATAAATAAGGATGTTGTCTTTGAAGAAGAAAAAGCTAGGTTTGGAATAAGAAGCATGAAGAGGCTATCACGTGTGTTTCGAAATAAGTGATCGGGAAGAGAAAACAACTATGATTGATGATAATCATGCTGAAAGCAAGTCTAAGCATGACACTATTATAAAATTAAGAAAATACCATAAATGAGTCACATACAAAAAGAAACTCATCCGATTCTATTCAACGAAGGGTTAAACAACCACCATCTTGGATGATGGACTATGATTCGGGAGAAATACTTTCTAAAGATGATCACGATACTCATTTAGTCATGTTTGTAACTAGAGTTCCCATTCACTTTGATGATGTTGTGAAAAGTAAGAAATGGAGGAGAGCCATGGATGTGGAAATAGAAGCAATAGAACGGAATAAGACATGGGAATTGACATAGCTACCTAAAGGAATGAAAGAAGGTTGGAGTAAAATGGGTCTATAAAACTAAGATTGATGAAAAAGGAGAAGTGGATAAGTATAAAGCCGGACTTATTATGAAGGGATATGCTCAATAATATGGTATTCATTATACAAAAGTATTTACACCGATGGCATGCATAGAGACAATCCATTTGGTGATAGCTCTTACATACTCAAAAAGGATGGGTTATTTATCAACTGGATGTGAGGTATGCATTCTTATATGGTGAGTTAAAAGAGAATGTCTTTAGAGCAAACTTATGGTTATATCCGGAAAGGACATGAACATAAGGTATACAAGTTAAAGTATGTAATCTATGGGCTCAAGCAAGCATCACGAGCATGGTACGACCATATAGAAGCTTACTTTTTGCAAGAAAGCTTCGAAAAGTGTGATTATGAGCATATATTATTCATCAAAACAAGAGAAGAAGGCAAATTGTTAATAGTAATTTTGTATATTGATGATCTTGTTTTATTGAAAATGATGAATTAATGTTATCAAAGTTCAAAAGTTCCATGAAACATGAGTTTGATATGACCGACCTATGGAAGTTGGGATATTTCCTTGGTTTGGAGGTTTTACAAAGAACGGATGGGGTTTCTATTGGTAAAAAAAAAAAAAAAGTATGCTTTAGATGTGCTAATGAGGTTTGGGTTGGATGAAAGCAATTCTATTCATAATCCAATTGTTCTAGGTTTTAAGCTAGTGAAGGATAAAGGAGGAGTTAAGGTGGACAAGACTCATTATAAGCGGATTGTGGGAAACCTTAAGTACCTTACAACCTACTGGGCTTGACATGATGTTTGTCATGAGCCTCATTAGCATATACATGGAGAATCATACTAAGAATTATCTACAATCGACGAAAAGGGTGCTAAGGTATTTAAAGGGAACAACTAGGCTTGACATATTTTACAAGAAAGAAGGAGATGAAAAACTCATTGTCTACGCTAACGAGTGATTATGTTAGGGATATGAAAGATAGAAAAAGCACTTCGAGTTATGTGTTTTCATTGAATTCAAGAGTAGTATCATAGTCGTCAAAGAAGCAATCGATGGTGAGTCTATCTACTATGGAGGCAGAGTTTATTACTACGACAATTTGTGCATGCCGAGCAATTTGGTTAAATAGAGTACCGAAAAAGCCGAATCAGGATCAAGAAAAGCCAATCATAATTCATTATGATAGCGACTTCTGTAATCAAATTGTCAAGAAATCGATAATGCATGGACAAAGTAAGTATATTGATGTTCGTTTTCATTTTCTTTAGTAGCTTACAAAGGCTAGTGTTATGGAATTGGAGCATTGCAAGACACATGAACAAGTGACAAATATAATGGCTAAACCTCTTAAGCTAGATGTTTTCTTAAAGCTACAAAAACTATTAGGAGTGTGTTCGAAGCTGATATCAACGGAATAATTGTAGAACTCAGCTCAAGGGAGGAATTGTTAGGATTTATCATTTAAGTGCTGCTTAATGTATCTATCAAATAAATGGTTAATAGGACTTAATAAGTAGCCCAATTAGTGCTCTCCACGTCCCCAAAAATATAAAATCAAGAAACGTTCAAAATCCCCACCATTTCCACTTTCCCTTTCTCCATCAAATCTCAAGATGACAGAGCTGGCAGAAACCTACGCTTGCGTTCCCTCCACCGAACGAGGCAGAGGTATTCTAACCTCCGGTCATCCTAAAACCAATAAAATCCTCTACACAAACAACCGATCCATTCTCATCCTCAACCTTGACAACCCACTTGACGTCTCCGTCTATGGCGAGCATGGGTACCAAGCCACCGTCGCACGATACTCTCCAAATGGCGAGTGGATCGCCTCTGCTGATGTATCTGGGACTGTCAGGATCTGGGGTGCTTACAATGATCATGTGTTGAAAAAAGAATTTAAAGTACTCACCGGTCGGATAGATGATCTTCAGTGGTCCCCTGATGGGTTGAGGATCGTTGCATCTGGGGATGGAAAAGGGAAATCTCTTGTTCGTGCTTTTATGTGAGTAGAATTCGTTTTGCTATTTTATTTTTTAAAAACGAATGGGATCGACATATGGTCAAATGTCAATAGATTTTTTATTGTTTGACGATTGATGTTGATGGGTGTTATTATTTCTTTTTATAGGTGGGATTCAGGGACTAATGTGGGGGAATTTGATGGGCATTCGAGGCGAGTTTTGAGTTGTGCATTTAAGCCAACTAGACCATTTCGAATTGTGACATGTGGAGAGGATTTCTTGGTTAATTTCTATGAAGGACCGCCATTTAAATTCAAGTCATCTCACAGGTTTGTAATGGTTTATTTTTGTCGGAAATTATGAGAAGTTGAATGTGTTTGAATTCTGATTTTAAGTCTTAGCGTTAGAAGCAAATTAAAGAGCTGCATTGGTTGAAAAGTGTTTGTAATTGTTATATGCAGGGATCATTCAAATTTTGTCAATTGTATACGGTATTCTCCGGATGGTAGCAAGTTTATCAGTGTAAGTTCTGATAAGAAAGGCATACTGTTTGACGGAAAGACGGGAGAGAAGATTGGAGAGTTGTCATCTGAGGATGGTCATAAGGGCAGTATTTATGCAGTTAGTTGGAGTCCTGATAGTAAACAGGTAACTCTGGTATTAACTTATAATGAAAGCTTTTGTGATGAACATGCCTGTTTCGTGGTGCCAAAACCTATACTTGTTGATTTGACCTTTTAAATTTTTTAGTTAATAAGATAATTATAAGTAGAAGTTGAATGAAGACATTATGCTAGAAGTTTGGGTGGAAAAATATAGAACTTTATCTCATCATTTGTGTTTACTTTCTTTCAAATTGTTAGGCTACTATTGAGTATTAAAATGAATTCTGTGGTGTTTTTTGTTTCCTTCTTCATTGACCATTTTTAACAAGCAAAGTTTGCAGCCAACTAATTTCGTAATTCTGCATACTATTCTCCTACTCGTCAAAAGTAATTTATTTTCGATCAATGTGCTTCAGGACTGTACAAAAAATGCTCTATTCTTATTGTTTTTTTTTTTTTCATTGATGCTTCGTTACCTCTTCCTATATTTGCATTCCTTTATTATCTGCTCTTTCTCTACCTAGTCAAAACATGTCTCTTTGTGCCTGATAATTACCAATTTGAGCTTAAACTATTTTGCAGGTGCTGACAGTATCTGCCGACAAGTCTGCAAAAGTGTGGGAGATCTGTGATGATGGTAGTGGAAAGTTGACGAAAACTTTGACTTCTTCTGACTCAGGTGGAGTGGATGATATGCTAGTTGGTTGCCTTTGGCAGAATGATCATCTTGTCACTGTTTCTCTTGGTGGCACAGTTAGCATTTTCTCAGCTGGTGATCTTGATAAAATTCCATTGCAAATATCTGGTCATATGAAGAATGTTACTTCCTTATCCGTGCTTAAAAATGTCCCAAAGACTATCCTGTCCAGCAGCTATGATGGTTTGATAGTTAAATGGATTCAAGGCATTGGATACAGCAGTAAATTGCGGAGGAAGGAGAATTCTCAAATTAAATGTTTTGCTGCTGCTGAAGAGGAAATCATCACATCTGGTTTTGATAATAAGGTGATTAACATGGCTATGTGTTTTAATTCTTGAATGATTATGCTATTTTCCAATTCTATTTTAATCAACTACGAATTTGAGGAGGTGAATGAGTTTATGCTTATCAGCCTCAATAGATGACATGAAACATGCTGTAGGGATTGTAGTTGACACTCTAGCTTCTAACTTAATATGGTGGGCGGATGTTTTTCTTTTATTTAAATAGTCATACTATTGTACTAAGGACTAAGTGTTATAGATTCTTGATGTTGACCACATGTATCAAATAATCAGTGTTGAATGGGAGAATTTCTCTCTGACTTATGTATATTGTTAGAATGCAACAAAACTCAGCAAACGGATTCCTATCACCTGAATTGTATTTTTAGAATGCCTCTTTAAGCATCCTTAAATAGTATCTGTGAGATTTTGGTGCCCCTACAAGTTGTGTAAATATGGAAATGATTTGTCACTCTTTGATTTCTAATTTATTGTAACCTAAAACAAAAACAAGTTGAAAGAAAGAAGGAAAAAGGAGAGGTTTTCATTTAACTCCCCCACTAAGAGCTTGACGAAGTTCTGAATTATATCAAAATAAGTTATATTGTTTTCTTTAATTTCTTCTGCAATGTCTGGTAATTAGACAGGATTTGGGTAGGATTAAGAACTAAGTATGATCTCTACATAAGTTTGTGGTGCATTTCTTTTTCTTTGGTAAAAGAAATTTGTGCTCCTTTTCACCTCTAACTCTTTACTTTTGTTATTCTTTCTATTTTTCAGATATGGAGGGTTCGTTTTCTTGGTGATCAATGTGGAGATGCAGATTCCATTGACATTGGCAACCAACCACAGGACATAAGTCTTGCTCATCTCTGCTCTGAGCTTGCTTTGGTCGCAATTGATTCAGGTGTTGTCATGCTTCGTGGTACAAAAGTAGTGTCAACCATGAATCTTGGCTTTGCTGTGAGAGCATCTGCAATTGCACCTGATGGAAGTGAAGCAATCATAGGTGGGCAGGATGGGAAATTGCACATATATTCTGTCACAGGTGATACACTAACAGAAGAAGCAGTCCTTGAGAAACATCGTGGTGCTGTCAGTGTCATCCGATACTCTCCAGATGTTTCAATGTTTGCGTCTGGTGATTTAAATAGGGAAGCTGTAGTTTGGGATCGTGTCTCCCGAGAGGTACTTTGATTGCTTATTTAAATCCAAAAAGTTGATGCTATACTTCTCCCATTACAGCTGCTTGTGCATAGCATTCATTTATTTTCAGTTGAAGTGGCAGATGTGCAAACTTGTGCCTGGTCTGTGTGCTTTGATGTGAGTGAGCTGCACTAAGTACATATCTATGTGATAGTGAGGCGTTGAAAATTTTCCATTATTTTGCTTTCTAATTCTCTCAGAGAAAAGCAAACTTAGCTATTGCATATCTCTGTGTATGAGAAGTTTATTGAATTGCATGATTTGGAGAAGCCACCAAACCAAATAAAGCACTTGCAATAAGATGCACTAGATATAGATTTTGATTGGGTGGATTTGGATTTCATTATGTTTAGAATCATGAAAAACACAGTTCCTGTCAACATGGTTCTTGGTTCTGTGAATTTTACTTTCTTACTAGCATAGCATTGTCCTTAACCCTGGTTTCAAAACAGGGACTTCTATAGCTACTGGTCTTACATCTGGCATGGACCAGAAGAATGATTTGTTTTATATCCAGCTGTCACACTTGAGGTTGCTAGAAATTCAGCTTAAATAAACATAGTCACTCACTTTTGGATCATGTTTTGCTTAGTATGCACAAAGGGGCAAGTGAAGCTGGACTGTAGGTGAAACTCAGAAATAACTACTTTTCTTACAGTTGAACTTCAATCTTGACAGTGCCTAAATCTTTTTCTGTCATACATTGCTCCTTAGTTTGCAAGGGGCAATGGATGGGGTTAGTGGAAGGATTGTATTCTGTATAAGCAGGCACAGGTTTCCTGGTATATCGCAGTCTGGTGTTGCTCCTTTATTTGGGATTTACTAATTTGGTTTATATGCCACAGGCCCTCTTAGGCCTGGTTCGCTGCTCCCCCAACAACCCCCCCCCCCCCCTTCTCTCCTTTTCTTTACCTCACTGGAGTCTGGACTATTGAGCCTTATCTTTTACTGCTTATTTTTGCGCAGGTGAAGCTTAAAAACATGTTGTACCACACTGCCCGCATAAACTGCCTTGCTTGGTCTCCTGACAGCAGCATGGTTGCTACTGGATCGCTTGACACCTGTGTCATCATATATGAAATCGACAAGCCAGCATCTAGTCGGATGACCATCAAGGGAGCTCACTTGGGTGGAGTTTATGGACTAGCTTTTACTGATGATCATAGTGTGGTAAGTTCTGGTGAGGATGCTTGTGTTCGTGTTTGGAAGGTAAATCCACAGTGATACGAATGAATGGAGGTCATCATGAATATATTCAGGTCAAAATATTTGAAACTTGGTGACCATGCTGGATTATTTTGGATTTTATTGTAAAGTTCGGCATGGAACGAGGTCAGAGAGAAAAGACCGATGCGTGAGAATTAGGGTATTTTTATGAATGCTAAACTGGCCCATTCTAGTTCTCTGGTTATGTTCCCAATGGCTATTGCAAACATCGGTTTGATTAAGAGTTGTGGTTTGTTCAGATTTTGCCGTTTGGAGTTGGTACTTTTTTCAGATTACAGGCGATTGAAGTAGGGGAATCGGTGTAGGTTTTATGTCTCTCAACACCACTGGTAATTTGCAGCTGCATCTATGTTTGATGATATCTAATTTAGTATGCTCTATGCTGAGGTTTTGGGCCGGTCTTAGCTATGTCAAACACTCAGAATCTGACATTAGAGGCTGGTGTATTGCAAGAAAACAACCTTAAACTACAGTTGAATGAATATGGTTGAAGTGCTGAAAGATCAAAACCAAATACCAAACTTCTCTCTCTCTCTCTCTCTCTCTCTCTCTCTCTCTCTCTCTCTCTCTCCTTTTGGGTTTGTTAGTTTTTTAGGCACTGGTAAGTTGCCTAACTTATTTTAGTGAAGGTGCTCCAAAGTGAATGTCATGTTAATTTCAGTTTCATTGTTCTCGCGGTGTGATATCACTCTGTATTTTCTGCTTCTTGTCTGGCTGAAGTTATTTTATTGTGTGTTACATCATCTGTTGTTTATGTTCGTCGTCACTGAAATGCCAGAGATGCTTATAGAAACAATAATAAACAAGGTTTCAGGCCCAAATCTCAGTAGACAGATCATGCAACGGGGCCGTATTTTGATCAGAATGCGTCATAATTTGCATGTATGACCAGCAGAAGTGTAGAACAGCCGAAGCAGAACAAGTGCTCTGTACGGCTAAAGCCTGAAACTAGGCTGCCTGTAAAGTCTCACAACAGATTAATTTTGGACTTGGCTAGCCATACATGATAAATTTCTTGCCAACCTCTAGGCATTTTAATATCAGAGAAAAGTATAGGAGAATTGAGCAAATGCAGAAGAAATATGGTTTCCCTCAACTGTTTTAAGTCCATGGATGTGAATTTTTAATTACCGTTTTCTGAATCGTAGATCAATCACCCATGATATCTTCACTTGTGGGTTTCCATGTCTGCTACACGAAAATCAATGTAGACAGCTTGACTGATCAGAAGGATAAGTTGGAGCTGAATGAGTGGATAAGCTCCGAATGCAGGACAGACCAGCTCTTGATCTTTAGTTTTATGGACCAGGGTTACATCCAAATCTCACGGGTGTAGGGGACTACTAGCCGTATCCAGGACCCACCACCGGGCAAGTGGTTTATGGATGACTGATATCAACAATTATTAGAATGCTTTTACTAACCTACGAGGAATTGGCTTTAAGAGACGAGAAGGTCTTAGGTTCAAATTCTTTTTTTTTAAAAAAAAGAAATTTTAATTATTGTAAGTAAGTAGACGGAGTAAATTATAAAGTAGTCTCTCTCATTTAGAAAAATTAATTAATTAGTTTATTTAAAAAAAATGTTATTTTTTTGTTAATAACTTAATTATTTCATCCATTTTTTACTAAATTAATAATTTTTGTTTTTAAATTGTTTTTTATTTAACTTTTGGTTGAGAAAAGAGAAAGAAAATGAGTGAAGGAGAAAAATAAAACATAAAAAGATGAGAATTTGGGAAAAAAATCACTGATGAAACGAAAATTTTGTAAAAAAAACTAAGTTACTATGAAATTAAAACATAAAGGATTAAATGATAAATTTTTTAGAAAAAAATAATAAGATGGACTAATTCATAAGTAAATTACTTAAGTAGACAAGTAGGCTCCTCCTTTTTTTGAAAACAATGGATTTTTGTCCATAAAAATAACTAGGGTGATATGATTCAATTAGTCCGAATGTAATTGTTATGGAGTTCCATGAAACTCACAGATACCTTATTATTTATAAATAAAGAATGATGGCATAAAGCCATTGATACGGGTGTCATGGAAAATAAGAATTGGATCAGCAAATTGGTTTTTTAGCTAAAGATTAAAGTAAATTTCTTCTTGGTCTAGCCTTCTATCAATATCATTGCGTTCTCCTTTGTAAAAGGTTGATACTATCATATTTCATTGGGTATCCCAAGACGCCATTCTTCTACTTTTTCCCCCTTTTTTTTTTTTTTTTTTTTCCATCGTTTCAATATCTTAAAAGCGGAATCAAGCATGAACTTGGTCCTGGTCTCTCCCTTTCCCTACAAGCCAAAAAAAATTGGGTTAAATCGATGAAGCATGATCATTTTGTTCTTTCCTTAACAATTTCTAACACTATTAGGCTGCTTGCAGCTAAATTTCACGTGCCCACGCAGATACTTAGCATCCTTTTATATTACAAACATGTGGAGTGTCCTTGTCCGTGATGGACCATTTTAGAATATGGCATCACCAACTTGCAAACATTGGTCCATCAACTAGACTTGATCATTGACCACATGTATAATCATTTAACGGTGCCTTCGTTATCAATAGAAGGCGTCAATTGTTAATAGAATGCTATTTTAAGGAATTTAGTGAAATTCTGAAAAAAATAAAAATAAAAAAATAAAAACTGAATTTTGCAGAATAACACACTTAAATTTGGAATTTGGCAATAGCATTATTGAATAAAATCCATATCCGGTGTACAAGTCATGGACTATGTGGATAAAAATAACACATTAATTTGGTGACTAATGTCGGACAAAAATCTCAAAAGAGTAGAAGGAAAAGTCACCATAGAAGCTATTAGCACCTTTCGGTTGACATCTAGTGGTTACTTTAAGGGGAAAAAATTGTTTTACTTTTGATATAAAGTAGGGTATTCTTAATTTTGAATAAAAACACAATTATTATTGTGGGTCCATTTTTTCTGATTAAAATAAAATAATTTTTCCATTAAATTTTTTAAAAATTACACAAATATCAAATATATTAGAGTTTTACGAAAGTTTATTTAAAAATATATTTTTAATATATTAACTTCAAGGGATTAGCTTGCCAGTTAAGGATTTTTTTTTTTTTTTTTAAGCTTTATGAATTCAAACTTGAAGGTTAATATCTAAAGAATTTTATTAAATTTTTCTTAATGCATCACGTCCATATAGAGGGAGATGCACCTTGAAGATCATCCAAAGAACGATGTAATTTCGATTGACGTTTTCGAAGATACCCTTACAATAAAAAAAGAAATCATTGCTTTCATTGATATTTTTTATTGAATATGTATATATACATATAAGAAAATTTAGTGCCCTTGGCATCACTAAAATAAAAATTAAAGGGTGATGATATAATTGAGGTTTACCTTAAAAAAAAATTATTTTTATTTTAGTGATGCTAGGGGCACTAAATTTTTTTAAGGGAAACCTCAATTTAGTCCAAACCTATATACTCATTCTCAAATGCATCACAAACATATAATCTTTATCAATTAGGTCCCAAACATTTCCTACATTTTAAACCCTTCTATCATTTATTTTTAATATTTCAAGTCTCATGTGCACCTTTTTTGCACTGAATGACATTAATTTAAAGAAAATTTGATGCAAAAATTTAATAAAAATATATATTTTTTTCTAATGAGTATATTTTATGCATTAAAACAACATCAATTTGAAAATAATTTGACAAAAAAGTTGATAAATGTTAAAATAAAGATTTGATTGAGATTTTTAAAAAACGTTTGAGATCAAATTGCTAAAATTTAATGTTTGGGTTCAACCGTGAATGAGTATATGGGATATAGAATTAATTAAGGTTTCTTCTTTCTTTTTTTTACTAAGTTTTGCTTTAATTTATTATCATATTTAATGAGATAATTATAACTAGGGAATCAAATCATTAATAAGACACTAATCACAAAGTGCCACGTCACTTAGTAAAGATGTTTAGGAAAAAAAACAAAGACTTATTGTAACAAATAATCACAAACTCTTATTTTTTAATTATATTAGTTCCTTATTTTAGTGCTTGGATAGAAAATACACAAATTAAACTTCGTTAACCATATTAGCATGCGTGAATTTTTTTATTTAAAATTCCATTATCATCCGATATGACATGAGAGAAATGGTGATGATAAGGATTTTAATGGCACGTAAAATCCCACGTGGCATACTTTACAATTATCCTCCCCTATTTTCTACAAATGACATGTCGCCTACAAACCTCATTTCATTCCCAATTCTTTTTTTTTTCTCTTCTCTACCTTCTAATTTCAAATCTTAAAAATCCTCACTTATATGACATGAGAGAAATGGTGATGATAAGAATTTTAATGCCACATAAGATCCCACGTGGCATACTTTACAATTATCCTCCCCTATTTTCTCGTAAATGACATGTCGCCTACAAACCTCGTTTCATTCCCAATTCTTTTTTTTTCTATCTCTTCTCTACCTTCTAATTTCAAATCTTAAAAATCCTCACTTATTGTCGGGCCTAACGTGTTTTGAAATCAAATCTTGAAATGGGGATTTTGGGACTGAGATATGACAGGAGAGAAATGGTGATGATAAGGATTTTAATGCCACGTAAGATCCCACGTGACATACTTTACAATTATCCTCCCCTATTTTTTGCAAATGACATGTCACCTACAAACCTCATTTCATTTCCAGTTCTTTTTTTTTCTTTTCTATATCTTTTAATTTCAAATCTTAAAATCCCTCACTTATATGATAGGAGAGAAACGGTGATGATAAGGATTTTAATGCCACGTAAGATCCCACGTGGCATACTTTACAATTATCCTCCCTTATTTTCTACAAATGACATGTCGCCTACAAACCTCGTTTCATTCCTAATTCTTTTTTCTCTCTCTCTCTCTCTCTCTTCTCTACCTTCTAATTTCAAATCTTAAAAATCCTCACTTATTGTTAGGCCTAACATGTTTTGAAATCAAATCTTGAAATGGGGATTTTGGGGTTGAGCTTGGTCAATGATGATTCGGATGGCTAGAGAGATGAAATTAGTGGCTAGACTTGTGGGTGTTGGGGCTACTAGAGAGAGAACGACGGTTGTCATGGTGGTCGTTGTGTTTGACAAGAGAAGATGGCAATGGCATTGTGGTCGCTAGGTTCAAAGGAAAAGAGGGCAACTACGATGCTCGAGTTTAGCAAAAGAAACCGATAAGGAAGTGCCTCTTTTATACAATATTTCAATCCACAATGAAGAACTTAAGAAGAATTGAAAAATTCTATTGAATTGAATGAAGAACAAGTTTATTTCAAACAAGTAAAAGTAAACCGTTAACGCAAGATTAACAAGAACAAGATGAACACGAGCTTGAACAAGAAGAAGAATATAAACAGAGAGAGAGAAAACCAAAGAAAATTACGAAAAAGAAACATGTTTTTGCCAAAATAGAAGATAAATCCAACTTCTCTCTCCCCCTCCCCCAATCAATATACTAGTCGTTAAGCTTAGTAACAACTTTAACAAATTATTAACCACCGACACACATGTATTCAACTATTACACTTAATCCAAGTGTCCCTTCACATGTACAATTCGGCCCATATATATATATATATATATATATATATATATATATATATATATATATATATATATATATCACATCTAGCAACAAACAAAGCCTCTCCTCTATAACCCAACACCGAGTCCTTCATTTCCTCTATAACACCAATACCATACCTTCACATATCCTCTTCGTCTTCATTCCCTCATAAATGTATCACTACTAGGTTCAAAGCTTGGTGGTGTGGGGGACGACAATAACAGACAATGGATTTGTTGATGTGAGGATGGAAGTGGGAGAGATTGGTGCTATCGGAGCTTGATCGTGTGAGGATGGCGATAATAGCAGCTTGTTCGATAATGTAAGGATGGCGAGTTAGGGATGGCAATAGGGCGGGGATGGTCGTCCCCGACCCCGTCCTCGCTCGGAAAATGTCATCCCATCCCTATCCTATGCCCCATTTGGGATAATATTTCGAGTACCATCTTTGTCCCAAATGGGAGCAAGGCGAGACAAGATCACATCAGATTGTCATTCCTAAAGGCAAAAGAGCAAGGCGAGGGTGGGTCATACTCGCTACCCTTATTGATAGTATGGGTGGCTATTGGGATTAGAGCTTGGTGGTGTGAAGAAGGTGACAACAACGGTTTGTTCAATGATAAAGGGATGGCAATAGTTGCGACTATGTGAAAATTAGGGTTTTTAAGATTTAAAATCATAATGGTGAAATATGTCTTCTTGGATTCTACGTGGCATTTAGTTATTATCATCATCATTTTTCTCCCGCCACATCGGATGATAATGAAATTTTAAACAAAAAAATTCATGCATACTAATATGGTTTATAAAATTTTAATTTTTGTATTACTTAGAACAAAAAAACAAAAAACAAAAAAAAACCCTCTAATATTTCATCTTCTTTTTTAGGAAAGTAAAGACAAGTCCTTCGGTTTTAATAATAGATACATCACCAATGAATGTTATGATATATTTGTAAGACATGAAGTTTAGTTTTCATGTATTTACTCCACATAACTTTATGTCTTATTATATTCCTTATAAAATTGTCCCATTACATTTGAAAACTTACAATTTATCTCCTTTTTTTTATTACATAAAAAAACAGTTTCAACAAGTTTTACTGTGTGAAAATTTTAATTTATATATTTTTTTGGATTTTCTTTGCCTAAAATATTTTAACTTTAATTTTTTATTTTTTTGTGAACCAAAGATTTATTATCATACAATTTTATTCCTTTTAATTAATATAATTCTTAGAAAAGATTTAGAGTACCTCATTATGCTAGTGATAATGAACTTTTTTAATTTAAAAAAAATATACAAATATGAAGAATTATATTTTTAATTCCAATATCGTAATTTCATTTTGAATATAATCAAAATCTTCAATAGCCATGGTATAAGAAAAAATAGACTAAATAATATACTTTACATTCAAAAACGTATTATGAAAGGTTGTTTAAGAAAGAAAATCAATTAATTGTTAATTTTTAAACATATAGATAGGATAATGCTTGTAGCACAATTAAATAACCTATTATGTCTTTGTATAAAACCAAAGAAAATTATAGAAAAGAAACATGTTTTTGTAAAAATAGAAGATAAATCCAGACTTCTCTCCCCCTAATTAATATACTAGTCGTTAAGCTTAGTAACAACTTTAATAAATTATTAACCACGAGCATATATGCATTCAACTATTACACTTAATCCAAGTGTCCCTTCACATGTACAATTCGGCCCATATATATGTATCACGTCTAGCAACAAACAAAGCCTCTCTTTTATAACCTAACACCAGTCCTTCATTTCCTCTATAACACCAATACTAGACCTTCACATATCCTCTTCTATCTTCATTCCCTCATGAATGTATCACTGCTAGGTTTAAAGCTTGGTGGTGTGGGGGACGACAATAACAACGAATGGGTTTGGTGATGTGTGGATGGAAGTGGGGGAGGTTGGTGCGATCACAGCTTGGTGGTGTGAGGATGGCGATAATAGCAGCTTGTTTGATAATGTGAGGATGGCGATTAGGGATGGCCATCCCGCCCTATCCTCGCCCGGAAAATGTCATCCCATCCCTTCTCCGTGCCCCATTCGGGATAATATTTCAAGTACCATCCCCGTCTCAAACGAGAGCGAGGTGGGATGGGATCCCGTCGATTGTCATTCCTAAAGGCAAAAGAGCGAGGCGAGGGCGAGGTCAAATTGCCACCCTTATTGGCGGTATGGGTGGCTACTAGGATTAGAGCTTGGTGGTGTGAGGAAGGCGACAACGACGGTTCGTTCAACGATAAAGGGATAGCAATAGGTGCGGTATGTGAAAATCGAGGGTTTTTAAGATTTAAAATCATAATGGTGAAATATGTCGTCTTGGATTCTACGTGGCATTTAGTTATTATCATCATCATCATTTTTCTCCCACCACATCGGATGATAACGAAATTTTAAACAAAAAAATTCATGCATACTAATATTGTTTACAAAAGTTTAATTTTTGTATTACTTAGTATAATAAGAAAAAAAAAACCCCTCTAATACTACTTCTTCTTCTTTAGCAAAGTAAAGACGAGTCCTTCAATTTTAATGATAGATACATGACCAATGAATGTTATGATAAATTTGTTAGACTATGAAGTTCAATTTTCATGTATTTACTCCACGTAACTTTATGTCTTATTATATTCCCTATAAAATTGTCCCATTACATTTGAAAACTTACAATTTATCTCTTTTTTTATTACATAAAAAAATAGTTTCAACAAGTTTTACTGTGTGAAAATTTTAATTTATATATGTTTTATGGATTTTCTTTGCCTAAAATATTTTAACTTTAATTTTTATTTTTGCGAACCAAAGATTTATTATCATACAATTTTATTCCTTTTAATTAATATAATTCTTAGAAAAGATTTAGAGTAACTCATTATGCTAGTGATAATGAACTTTTTTTTATTTAAAAAAAATCTACAAATATGAAGAATTATATTTTTAACTCCAATATCGTAATTTCATTTTGAATATAATCAAAATCTTCAATAGCCATAGTATAAGAAAAAATAGACTAAATAATATACTTTACATTCAAAAACGTATTATGAAAGGTTGTTTAAGAAAGAAAATCAATTAATTGTTAATTTTTAAATATATAGATAGGATAATGCTTGTAGCACAATTAAATATAAACTTTTTTTAGAAGATAAATTATTGGTAAAAAAAAAATTAGCATAGAACTTATTAGTAATTTGATTTTCAAAAGTGATCTGATATGTACATTTTTTTTCTTAAGCCTTTTAAACTTAATAATTACTTATTAAAATGTTGAGCACCCATGCACACGTTTAACATGTAACCTACTTATGATTAAGAAGTTAAAATCATTCAATATAAATAAAATATTTTTGAGTAAATAGCTCAATCTATTCTTATGTAATTAGACAAGTTTTCAATACGTCTTTATATTTTTAATTGTATTTATTATGTCTTGTATAATATTCAAATTTTCACTATATCCCTATATTTCTAATTGTCGTTATCTTGTTCTTGTATAGTATTCAAATTTTTAATATGTCCTTCAATCAAGCTTTATCACTCAAATTGACAAAATTATAATTTACAATCCAAACTTTCCTTTGATTTATCTAACAATATAAAAAACAATATAAAAAACAATTCAAAACTACTCAAAATGTTTTTAGAAATAAAATGTTTCAAAATTACTCAACTATAAAATTTTAAAAAATATATATTAAATTTTTTAAAAAAAACATCAAAGTTATATTCTTATACAGCTCAATGATAGTTTTAGAATAAAAAATATAATTATGTCAATTTGAATATAAAAACTTAATAAAAATACATAATGGAGAATTAGATAGTGTACATGAACATAATAGATACAAAGACACTTTTTGTTTTCCATATATGGAATCCCTACTCTTTGATTTTATTTTATTTTTTTAATTCAAATCCCTACTCTTTGATTCTATTTTTTTTTTAATTCAAATCCTGTATTCTTCATTTTTTTTTTTAATTCAAACCTTACATTATAAGGAGACTTTATCTATCAGTAATAGTTGATACATGACATTCTTGATCCTACAAAACAGTAAATTTGTCTGAATTTTAAAAAAGATTAATATTGATATTAATAATAATTAAAAAATAATAATAAAAAGGTTTAAAAGCAAGAGTATTAGTAATTGGATTTAGGGAAGACACATTTTTAACCACCAAAATCGTATTCTCACTTTCCACTTCACTATACGCACCTCTCAGTGGCTTCACTCGCTACGTTTTGTTTAGACATCACGCTTTTGAATTCAATGAGAAAGAAGAAGAGAAAGACCCTTTTCTTTGGAATGCTTTAATCAAAACATATTCTCATGAGCATGACCCAAAAGAGGATTTGTGGCTTGTTTCTTTAATGCTTGAGAATGAGGTTTTTGTGAATAAGTTCATGTTGTTTCTGGTTTTGAAAGGGTACTCTCGAGTGGATTTGGTCAAGAAAGGAAGGCAGATTCATGGGTTATTGAAGAAATTGAAATTTGTGTCTAATTTATTTTTACAAAATTGTTTGATTTCTATGTATGTAAAATATGAGTGTCTTGCCTATGCGCGCCAAATGTCTGATGGAATGTCAAAGACGGACTCAATTTTGTATAATGATGATTGATTGATATGTTAAAGGCAGGAGAATTGACTTGACACTTGTGGTGTTGTATTGTATTCCAATGGAGGAAAGGAACTTTATTTCTTGGAATTCGTTGATAAGTGGGTATGCGCAATCTAAAGATGGAATTTTGATTGCTGGGCAATTGTTTGCGAAAATATGGGATTTAATTTTATGGAATTTGATGATTGATGGGTGAGTGCAATGTGGGTTCGGTATTTATTATTCTTTTATCATTAAAATTAGTTTTAATCCTTTTTTTTAATTCAATTATATTTATTGTTTTATAGGATCTACAATACCACATGTCAATCGGTAATTAGTGAAATCTAATGATAACGTACTATGTCAAATTAAAAATAAACAGACCTCATAATTGAACATTTGAAGCAAAAAATTTCAAAGAATAAAAAGTCTCAACTAAACTAAAAAACAATAAAGTCTTAATAAAAAAATTCAATAAAAAATCTTAACCAGACTAAAAAAAATAAAGTCTTAATAAAAAAATTCGAAGAGTAGATGGTTTATATGTGGAGAAAACCCAACTAGAAACATAAAAACAAATTAGAGACTTAACTAATTATATTACGATAGATTGAGACATTTATCCAATATTTGTAATATGCTATGGTGCTTATTAATCATTTTATATCTTAAAATAGTAGTTTCTCATACAAAGAAATGTGTAAATTACTCTTTTTGTAGTTAACTACATCTATTTTTATGGAGTTTTAGTATGATTTATTTGGATCCATATTGTTAATTTCTTTTATATATATTGTTTTCATAAAATGAAGAGTTTAAAGAAGGAACCTATGGTATGTTATGAGTTGTATTAACAAATTAGATTTTGACAAATGCATGCATGAAGAGAAAGAAATATGCTCCAACAAACTCGAAGGTCATATCTCCTCTCAAGTTAGAGATAACATAATATACATTTTGGTGAAATTGGTGAAATCTAAATCATTGGTTTGAATTTCAATGGTTAAATTTCATTTTATCCGATATGTTTTTACATTTTTAAAAAATTAATAGTTATTTTTCTCTATAAGGAAATCCAAACCAGAAATCCATGGTTTGGATTTATCTAACATGTATGAATCATGTTATCATATATAACTAGAGGAGGGAAAAATCCACTAGGTCTTACATTTTTTTTTTTTTTGAAAAAAATTAATACTTATTTTTCTCTATAAGGAAATCCAAACTAGAAATCAATGATTTGGATTTACCTAACATACATAAATCATGTTATCTCTAACTAAAGGATGGTGAAATCCATAAATATGTATGTGTAGGTTCAATTTATCCATAAAAAATAATTAAATAACTTAAATTTGTTAGTATATTCTAATCCATGTTGCCTTTTTTTATTTCATATTTTATATAGACTAAAACTACATCACAAATATATTAGACTAAGGATGGGCCTTACTCTATGTCAAGTCATAAGTTGCGAGGATAGACACGAATGTTCCGGTAGGGCCGAGTGTCCATGTCTTCTTTTGGAATACATTAGGGAGATTCACTTAGTGGGCTCAAAGTAGAGTCCATAAAAAAAAGCCCAATTGTTACTTTTTTTAGCTTTTGCTAGTAAGTTGAAGCAGTTTAGCCCAAAGAACCTAAATCTTTTAAGCCAAGTATGACCATACAAAATTGGCTAACATGGCATAATCCTAATGGTCAAGAGTTATCTTATTTTACTATAAATACCAACCTCATATCGTTATAAGGGGATCAAAATTTTTGCATCAAACAACTTTTGATTTCAAAATTTTCAATCTTCAGAAAAATAAACCCTTCAACTTTTCATCTTAAAGTTTTCCCCACTCATACACTAGACAACGCTTAAAACTCAATCTATTTGGACTTTGACTACCTAATTGTCAACCACCTAACTCGCACCTTGCTAGCATCGCTTCCTTCTCCTCCCGTGCCTCTCACTATTTACATCTTTTTTGTTTGATTGTTTGATTGTTGCTTCTAAAATTCATAACACTTACTCTTTGTATCTTGGCTTACCTATCGATTAGTCATCTAATAAGTTCTCGAGAATCCCTTTTACATTTTGGTGACTCCATCGAGTTAGTAATTATGAAGAATAATGGCATCTTTCTAGACAAATAAGAAGAACACCAATCTTTCTACCGACTCAACTTTTCACAACAATGATGATATCCTATATTATACTAATTATAATACTTACAACACCAGACTTGTTTAATAATGAGAATGTCAACACTCCTACAAAATCTTAAATAGACAATAACGACTTGCCAACACTATCGAGCACCAGTAGAAGGTGGCCTACCTCAACTCGTTCCTTAGGCTCCCACTATGATTGTTCAAAATTCAGGTCTTCGAGCCATGACCAAAGTCTTGAAAAAATTTTACGATGCTCATGATGATGTGTCATATCATCAACAAATTAGTTATTTATTTTTCTCACAAAACCTAACTTCAAAAGTGTAGATAGAACAAACTAGTTAATATATTAACTTCAAGGGATTAGCTTGCTAGTTAAGGATTTTTTTATTTTTTATTTTAACCTTTTCTTAGCTTTATGAATTCAAAAGAATTTTATTAAATTTTTCTTAATGCATCACATCCATATAGAGGGAGATGCACCTTGAAGATCATCCAAAGAAAGATGTTATTTTGATTGACGTTTTCGAAGATACCCTTACAATAAAAAAAATCATTGCTTTCATTGATAATTTTTATTGGATATATATATATAAGAGAATTTAGTGCCCTTGGCATCACTAAAATAAAAATTAAAGGGTGATGATATAATTGAGGTTTACCTTAAAAAAAAATTATTTTTATTTTAGTGATGCTAGGGGCACTAATTTTTTTTAAGGGAAACCTCAATTTAATCTAGAACCCATATACTCATTCTCAAATGCATCACAAACATATAATCTTTATCAATTAGGTCCCAAACATTTCCTACATTTTAAATCCTTCTATCAATTATTTTTAATATTTCAAGTCTAATGTGCACCTTTTTTGCACTTTGAATGACATTAATTTAAAGAAAATTTGATGCAAAAATTTAATAAAAATATTTTTTTTTCTAATGAGTATATTTTATGCATTAAAACATCAATTTAAAAATAATTTGACAAAAAAGTTGATAAATGTTAAAATAAAGATTTGATTGAGATTTTAAAAAACAACGTTTGAGATCAAATTGCTAAAATTTAATGTTTGGGTTCAACCGTGAATGAGTATATGGGATATAGAATTAATTAAGGTTTCTTCATTTTTTTTTAACTAAGTTTTGCTTTAATTTATTATCATATTTAATGAGATAATTATAACTAAGGAATCAAATCATTAATAAGACAAGTAATCACAAAGTGCCACATCACTTCGTAAAGATGTTTAGGAAAAAAACAAAGACTTATTGTAACAAATAATCACAAACTCTTATTTTTTTTAATTATATTAGTTCCTTATTTTAACGCTGGATAGAAAATACACAAACTAAACTTTTGTTAACCATATTAGCATGCGTGAATTTTTTCATTTAAAATTCCATTATCATACGATATAACGAAGAGAAATGGTGATGATAAGAATTTTAATGCCACGTAAGATCCCACATGGCATACTTTACAATTATCCTCCCTAATTTTCTCGCAAATGGCATGTCGCCTACATACCTCGTTTCTTTCCTAATTCTTTTTTTCTCTCTCTCTCTCTCTTCTCTACCTTTTAATTTCAAATCTTAAAAATCCTCACTTATTGTTAGGCCTAACATGTTTTGAAATCAAATCTTGAAATGGGGATTTTGGGGTCGAGCTTGGTCAATGATGATTCGAGTCGCTAGGGAGATGAAATTAGTGGCTAGACTTATGGGTTTTGGGGCTACTAGAGAGAGAACGACGGTTGTCATGGTGGTCATTGTGTTTGACAAGAGAAGATGGCAATGGCATTGTGGTCTGCTAGGTTCAAAGGAAGAAAGGGCGACTACAATACTGGGTTCAGCAAAAGAAACCAATAAGGAAGTGCCTCTTTTATGCAATATTTCAATCCACGATGAAGAACTTAAGAAGAATTGAAAAATTCTATTGAATTGAATGAAGAACAAGTTTATTTCAAACAAGTAACAATAAAGCTGTTAATGCAAGATTAACAAGAACAAGATGAACACGAGCTTGAACAAGAAAAAGAATATAAACGAGAGAGAGAAAACCAAAGAAAATTATAGAAAAGAAACATGTTTTTGTATAAATAGAAGATAAATCCAGACTTCTCTCCCTCCTAATTAATATACTAGTCGTTAAGCTTAGTAACAACTTTAATAAATTATTAACCACATGCATATATGCATTCAACTATTACACTTAATCCAAGTGTCCCTTCACATGTACAATTCGGGCCCATATATATGTATCACGTCTAGCAACAAACAAAGCCTCTCTTTTATAACCTAACACCAGTCCTTCATTTCCTCTATAACACCAATACTAGACCTTCACATATCCTCTTCTATCTTCATTCCCTCATGAATGTATCACTGCTAGGTTTAAAGCTTGGTGGTGTGGGGGACGACAATAATAACAATGGGTTTGGTGATGTGTGGATGAAAGTGGGGGAGGTTGGTGCGATCACGACTTGGTGGTGTGAGGATGGCGATAATAGCAGTTTGTTTGATAATGTGAGGATGGCGAGTTAGGGATGGCCATCCACCGCCCTATCCCGCACCGGAAAATGTCATCCCATCCGTTCTCCGTGTCCCATTCGGGATAATATTTCAAGTACCATCCCCGTCTCAAACGAGAGCGAGGCGGGACGGGATCCCGTCGGATTGTCATTCCTAAAGGCAAAAGAGCAAGGCGAGGGCGAGTCAAATTGCCACCCTTATTGGCGGTATGGGTGGCTACTAGGATTAGAGCTTGGTGGTGTGAGGAAGGTGACAACGAGCGGTTCGTTCAACGATAAAGGGATAGCAATAGGTGCGGCTATGTGAAAATGAGGGTTTTTAAGATTTAAAATCATAATGGTGAAATATGTCGTCTTGGATTCTACGTGGCATTTAGTTATTATCATCATCATCATTTTTCTCCCACCACATCGGATGATAACGAAATTTTAAACAAAAAAATTCATGCATACTAATATTGTTTACAAAAGTTTAATTTTTGTATTACTTAGTATAATAAGAAAAAAAATAAAGCCCCTCTA